TATGGGACACCTCTCTGGGGTGTACAGGTCTGTGGGACACCTCTCTGGGGTGTACAGGTCTGTGGGACAACACCTCTCTGGGGTGTACAGGTCTGTGGGACACCTCTCTGGGGTGTACAGGTGTGTGGGACACCTCTCTGGGGTGTACAGGACTGTGGGACACCTCTCTGGGGTGTACAGGTCTGTGGGACAACACCTCTCTGGGGTGTACAGGTCTGTGGGACAACACCTCTCTGGGGTGTACAGGTCTGTGGGACAACACCTCTCTGGGGTGTACAGGTCTGTGGGACAACACCTCTCTGGGGTGTACAGGTCTGTGGGACAACACCTCTCTGGGGTGTACAGGTCTGTGGGACAACACCTCTCTGGGGTGTACAGGTCTGTGGGACAACACCTCTCTGGGGTGTACAGGTCTGTGGGACACCTCTCTGGGGTGTACAGGTCTGTGGGACAACACCTCTCTGGGGTGTACAGGTCAATCCATAGTGAGAGTGTTCATGTACAGTACACCCAGGTGTACCATAGTGTACATGTACAGTACACCCAGGTGTACCATAGTGTACATGTACAGTACACCCAGGTGTACCATAGTGTACATGTACAGTACACCCAGGTGTACCATAGTGTACATGTACAGTACACCCAGGTGTACCATAGTGTACATGTACAGTACACCCAGGTGTGACGAGGGCCCCAGCACCAACTGTCCAGTAACAAGGGAGGCGGCGAGGGTCTCCTGACGCAGGCTGGACCGTCGCCAGGCGCTACAGGCCGTGACAGCCAACCTGGACGCAGGCTGGACCGTCGCCAGGCGCTACAGGCCGTGACAGCCAACCTGGACGCAGGCTGGACCGTCGCCAGGCGCTACAGGCCGTGACAGCCAACCTGGACGCAGGCTGGACCGTCGCCAGGCGCTACAGGCCGTGACAGCCAGCCTGGACGCAGGCTGGACCGTCGCCAGGCGCTACAGGCCGTGACAGCCAACCTGGACGCAGGCTGGACCGTCGCCAGGCGCTACAGGCCATGACAGCCAGCCTGGACGCAGGCTGGACCGTCGCCAGGCGCTACAGGCCGTGACAGCCAACCTGGACGCAGGCTGGACCGTCGCCAGGCGCTACAGGCCATGACAGCCAGCCTGGACGCAGGCTGGACCGTCGCCAGGCGCTACAGGCCATGACAGCCAGCCTGGACGCAGGCTGGACCGTCGCCAGGCGCTACAGGCCGTGACAGCCAACCTGGACGCAGGCTGGACCGTCGCTACAGGCCGTGACAGCCAGCCTACCTCCACCAACTGGGAACGTGAGTAGTGTAAAAGGAGACTGGAACCGACCCTAGTAGTGTAAAAGGAGACTGGAACCGACCCTAGTAGTGTAAAAGGAGACTGGAACCGACCCTTTTTTTCAGGGGACGATTTCAGTCTCATTTGTTTTCGTTTTTCCTACGGCTTCCTCCATCGCACTTTGGTTTTCGGTCAGCGTTGGTATGGGACGACTTCTGTCATCCCTCATGTTAGAGGAGTAACATCATCAGTCAGTCGTCATCCTCCCTAATGAACTTCAATCGGTCCATTTCAGTGATCGCATATTAAATCCCAATTATAATTAATTATTTAACCCCATTTTCAATTATTCATATTTATTCCCATTTTCAAAGATTGCTTATATCTGCCAAATAACTAGATAAAGATTATCTGGATAGAACCTGGTTGATAGGGTTCTGGGAGTTCCTCTACTCCCCAAGCCCGGCCTGAGGCCAGGCTTGATTTGTAAGAGCTTAGTCTACCAAGCTGTTGCTTGAAGCGGCCCGCAGGCCTACATATCTACCACAGCCCGGTTGGTACAGCACATCTTTAAAAAAAATATATAGTTTTCTCTTGAAGATGTCCACGGTTGTTCCGGCAATATTTCTTATGCTCGCTGGGAGGACGTTGAACAACCGCGGACCTCTGATGTTCATACAGTGTTCTCTGATTGTGCCTATGGCACCTCTGCTCTTCACTGGTTCTATTCTGCATTTTCTTCCATATCGTTCACTCCAGTACGTTGTTATTTACTGTGTAGATTTGGGACCTGGCTCTCCAGTATTTGTTATGTCTATATTTTTTTAAATCTCTTTCGTCTATCTAAAGAGTAACTTTGGATAGGTTTGAGACGATCCCAATTAATTAGGTTCTTTATCGGGTCAATGTATGCCGTATATGTTCTCTGTACTCCCCCTATTTCAGCAACTTCTCTTGCTCTGTAAAGGGAAGTGAGTACTACTGAGCAGTACTCATAACGGGACAACACAAGTGACTTGAAGAGTACAACCATTGTGATGGGATCCCTGGATTTGAAAGTTCGCATAATCCATCCTTTAATTTTTCTGTCTGACGCAATATTTGCTTGGTTATGCTCCCTAAACGTTAGGTCGTCAGACATCATTATTCCCAGATCCTTGACATGCTGTTTTCCTACTATGGGCAGATTTGATTGTGTTTTGTATTCTTTACCAAAAAAAATTCTTTGTATTCTTTATTCTTCTTTTGGTAGTAAAAAACAGAATATCCTGTATTTTGCTGCCCAGTCGAAAACTTTATTAATATCTGTTTGTAGTTTTGCAAAGTCTTCGGCAGAGATAATTTTCATGCTGACTTTTGTGTCAACTGCAAAGGATGATACGAAGCTTATATTTTTTATTTTTGTCTATATCTGATATGAGAATAAGGAACAGCAGCGGTGCAAGGACTGTACCTTGAGGTACAGAGCTTTTAATTGCGCTTGAATTCGATTTTATTTGGATGACCGTTACTCTTTGTGTTCTGTTTGACAGAAAACTGAGTATCCAGCGTCCTACTTTACCAGTTATTCCCATTGACTTCATTTTGTGTGCTATCACCCCATGGTCACATTTATCGAAAGCCTTTGCAAAGTCCGTGTATACCACATCTGCATTCTGTTGTTGTTCTAATGCCTCAGTAATTTTGTCGTAATGGTCAAGTAGCTGTGAGAGGCATGATCTTCCCGCTCTAAATCCATGTTGGCCTGGGTTGTGAAGGTCATTGGTCTCCATGAAACTAGTGACCTGACTCCTGATCACTCTCTCAAATACTTTTATTATGTGGGACGTTAGTGCAACTGGTCTGTAATTTTTAGCCAATGCTTTGCTCCCTCCCTTGTGTAGAGGGGCAATGTCTGCTACTTTAAGTGCATCTGGTATCTCCCCCGTGTCCAAGCTTTTCCTCCACACTATACTGAGTGCCTGTGCTACTGGCACTTTGTATTTCTTTATAAATATTGAATTCCACAGGTCTGGACCCGGGGCTGAGTGCATGTTGTCAATTTCTATTTCAAGATCTTCCACGCGTTTGTTTATATCAGTTATATTTTCAGAAGTTTGGATATCATGCATAACGAAGTTGTGTGGATCTTCCACTTTCACAGTGCGGATTATGCAGACGAGGAGTCACAATAACGTGGCTGAAATATGTTGAACAAACCACACATTAGAAAGTGATGCGACGACGACGTGTCAGTCCGTCCTGGACCATTATCAAGTCGATTGAGAATTGTCCAGGACGGACGGAAACGTCGTCGTCGCTTCACTTTCCTGTGTGGGGTTTGGTCAACATACTGTGGATTACTTATCAACTATAAAAATGTTGATTACTTATCGAATATAAAAATAAATGAAAGGTGTACACAGTATCTCCTATTTTTGTTCACCCATGTTTCAGTATATAGCCAAAGATCGCTTATTCAGCATAAGAATGAATGAAACCGTCTATCTCCTATTCATATCTGCCTTCATTTATTAAAAAGAGAGAAGAGAGTTTGGACCTACAAGTGCATTACTTGTGTGGCATCAACATCTACAATCCCCCATAAGATCATGACACACTCTAGCATTGAAATCTCTCAGCTAGCAACACACAAATCACACAAACAAACAAATTTTAAACACACAATTCTCAGGAACAACCCGTCTACTAACACCGCTTTAGTTCTCAGGTGTTTCACTGTATATTTTATCCACACGTTCTGGTAATCCCCACACCTCATTAACTCCTAAAACATTCCAACACCACATATGAGCATTAATTCATCTCAGCCATATTAAGTAAATATTCATGCAATATATATATATATATATATATATATATATATATATATATATATATATATATATATATATATATATATATATATATATAAATATGACCGAAAAAGTAAGATTAATAATTCTAACAAAAATTTTCTCTTTCGTACATTTCTTTTCACTGTTGGAGGTAAATCAAAAATCAATTCTCCAAAATTCATTTTTATTTCTAGTCTGACGCGACACGAGCGCGTTTCGTAAAATTTATTACATTTTCAAAGACTTTAGTTCACAAATACACAACTGAATAGAACTTACGCATCTCCGATTTTATATCTACATTTGAGTGAGGTGGATGGGGTGAGGTGGCATTAACACAAGACAGAACAAGAGGTGGCATTAATAGGGTATTAATTTCATCAACACAAGACAGAACAAGAGGTGACATTAATAGGGTATTAATTTCATCAACACAAGACAGAACACGAAACAATGGATATTGAATAGAAGTGTTTGTAGAAAGCCTATTGGTCCATATTTCTTGATGCTTCTATATTGGAGCGGAGTCTTGAGGTGGGTAGAATATAGTAGTGCATTAATTGGCTGTTGATTGCTGGTGTTGACTTCTTGATGTGTAGTGCCTCGCAAACGTCAAGCCGCCTGCTATCGCTGTATCTATCGATGATTTCTGTGTTGTTTACTAGGATTTCTCTGGCGATGGTTTGGTTGTGGGAAGAGATTATATGTTCCTTAATGGAGCCCTGTTGCTTATGCATCGTTAAACGCCTAGAAAGAGATGTTGTTGTCTTGCCTATATACTGGTTTTTTTGGAGCTTACAGTCCCCAAGAGGGCATTTGAAGGCATAGACGACGTTAGTCTCTTTTAAAGCGTTCTGTTTTGTGTCTGGAGAGTTTCTCATGAG